AGAACAGAAAAGAACACAAAAAAGGGTGGAAAAAAAAGAACCAAAAGCAAAAAGAAAAACGAGCCGCTGTGCATCGCGACATCCCGGCTGGGTTTACGCTATGCAACGAGGTCCAGCCTAGGAAAAAGAAGAACCGCTAGCACAGCGGTGACCAGACCGGACTTTAACGGGAGAAAAAGTCTTCCAGTCTGGAAGAGCAGGGTGCGTTAGGCCAAAACAAAAGTAAAAACTCAGTGTGTGAAAAAGGTCCGCCTGCCCCAGTGAAGATACGTGATGGGACAGGAAAAAAGAAAATGAACAGAAAAAAAATAACGACAGCCTTACGTGGGTACAACCCCCTCCAGGACTGCCGGTGAAAATCTTCCTCCACTTCCGGGGGTGGCCCTACTCATCCCTTCAGGGCATGTCCAGTGTGCCTTTTGCCTTTCTAGGGCTTGCACAGCTGTAGCTCATCTTCTAGCAGCCAGAGCAGCTGCGGAATGCAGCAACATTGTATTACAATAAGGGGGGTGTTGTCTACTTAATGCAAAAGTAAAAATTATTTAAATACCAACTAACACACCGCACATTGACAGTAATGAAAACTGACCAAGTGGATCACATGGTTTCTGTCTTTTTCTGGTGCAGTGAGATAGTGGGGTTCTACAAGTTCAGAGATGTTCTCACTTTTTCCCTAAAAGAATGATTAACCTCAGTGCAAACCCAAAGAAGGACCACAGTTTAAGGGCAATGCAGGTTTCCATACAACAAAGACTGTCCACAAGACCTTCTTGCTCTCTAAAGGTAAACTCACTAGAACTGTTTCCCTATAACAGATAATGCATCCCAGAAACACAAGCTGTGGTTGGCACGTACTAAAGAAATCCTGTCTCACATATTGAACACCCTGCCCCTACATACACTGCTGGTCTCTTCAGTGCAAAGATACACCTTTTAGGTTTCGGTCTTCAAAGAGCAGGCCTGAATGTCCATCGGAAGGTGGAAAACACTTACAGCATCTTGCTTCTTCTGCTCCAAAGGGTAAGAGTGCGAGTGATGGCCAGCCTTATTCTGATACACTAAATTGGTCTACATGGACCGTTAGCTCAGCTCTCAGGTGGCTATTTTGTAAACTTGTTTCTATTTCTTTCCCAGAGGTCTCTGCTGAATTATAGCTCACGCTCCCTAGTCGCTGTTCCATAGCTTGTTGTCACTAGTCCAGTACAAAAGATGTCTTAGGCCATCCCATGCTCGAGGTCTCTGTTAGAGCTAGACTTCTGATTGACCTGATTACATCATGACTCTCCTTCCATAGTGGACCTACAGTACTTAGCATTGGACCCAATGTACCATTTTGTGCTTAACTGTGGTTATTGGCTAACTGTGGTTAG